TTATTTTACTTATATGTTTATAATGTATTCTCTTTACTAGTACGTTTTATAGATTAATTTCATTCGATCTTTTTTTTCTCTGAATACGATAAAAAATACTTAAACAAAAAAGTTACAAGTGTTTCTTACGTCACGTGATATAAATCTGCTAAGAAAAAAATCAATCTTTGATACATCTTTCAATATTATTATTATTTCTTTTTAAATAGCAATAAGTTTGATTGTCATATTATTAATTTTCAACAAATACCTGCAATCTGCAACATTAACAAGCCATCACCCTTGCCATTGATGTTACACAAGTCATTAAATTATGTTGACAATTAAGAATAAATAGAGATAAATGTTAGTGCTAGCATGTTAAAATGACCAACATTAATTAGTAAATTGTCTGCTTTTTATCTTAAATTAAAAGCCAACCAAAATAATAATGTGTTTGTGCATCACATGAATAATAATGAAATTAAGAAGGATTAAATAATAAAGAAAGACCTTAAGAATTATACTCACGCATCTTGAATAATTATTTATTCGCCTTTGAGTATTTACTTTAAACTAATTAATTTTCCAAATTGTGCTAAAAAGGGAAAATTGTGAAGTTTTCAAATTAAAGTTGAGCATGCATTGAAAGGCATAATTTGGTGTGATGCACTTTATGCTAGACGCCAGAATATATTCTAGGATCTAATGAAGAGAACAACATAGGCAATTTGTTATATGATACTCCCATGTGGCCCTCTAGTACTGCATCATTTTTTGGTACGCGAATTAAATTATCTCAGTTAAATTAAATTTTTCTATTTAGGTGATATGATAAGATAATTTCAAGCTATTTGATGGGATAAGATGAAATATTCAAAATTAAAATTATATTATATTTAATTGATTGTATAAATTTATGCTGATATTTTTCTTTTCCTTATTATTCGTCGAATAGTTGGGCGATATCAACCAATTGCCCAACTAGCATTATCTAATTATTCGAACTAATCCTTCTATTGAAGCAATTATAGATTTTACTCGTCTTTGTAATCATTTTGTTTGATTAATTGCTTGGTTGAAGGTTTGAACACCATGGCCCTAGGTTTCAATGATTATTGCCTACTTTGTAATTGACCCTACTCTTTGACCAATCTCAAATTACACTATATTCTAAATTTCTTACTAGAAAAAATTCTATAAAAATTTAATAATTTAAGAGTCCTCTCTTGATGTCCATCCAAATAGCCCGTTTTGGTAGGTAAAATGAGTACATGACCTTAGTCCAAGTAGGTTGTATTCTAACGTGTTAATTCTTTAAAAATATCGCTTATTAAATTTTAATCGTTTGAACAAAATTAAATAAAAATATTAATAGGTTCATGATTTCTTAATATATATTGGGAAAGACTTGCCTTACTGATAAGTTATGGTGATAGCTAAACATTCTAATCACAAATTGGTAAAACGATCGTGGCATTTTTTCAAACTTATGGCCAAAATGAATTTATTGGAAGAAGAAGATGATGAAAATCTAAATTTGTTATGTTAGCGGGGCCAAGAATTAAATGAGTTTCCTCACGGAGTAAATAACACAAGTATAATATGCCCAACTTCAACATTTACACAACTTTTAGACTTGTGAATTGCATTTCTATAATTTATAATTGATTTAATTCTATCAGTCTGATTTTTGAGTGGGTAATTCACCCTTTTAATATATAATCTTTAGTACGTTATTTGGTAAATTTACTCCTTTTTCTTCTAAAAATTACTTCATTCCTCTGCTATTGTTTGTCATGATTTTTATGTTTAAAGTTAAATTATAAAAGTTTTGATTAACATTTTAAGATGCATCTTTTCATCACATTAATATGCAAAAAAAACAATTTATAATATTTTTCATATAGTTTTAGATTATCTATTTTTTTTTAAAAAAAATGAAAAATATATCTAATTTAACTTTAAAATTTAATCAAATTAACTTTAAAAAAACGCAACATGACAAACAATACCAGGCGGAGAGAGTACAACGTTTCATTATACTAAAGAATATTTGCATCAAAGGTGTTTTTGAAAATAAAAAGCACTACAATCAAATCTATTGCAATGTTGGTATGAATGCAACGCAAAATGTCGAAACAAATTATCACAAAGATTCATTAAAGAACTGACTTAAGATATATGGATTGCACAAATATTTCTTTCCATTAATAATTTATGTAGCAGATAATTTAGCCTCAAACTAGAATTACAAAAATAACACTACTATTAGGATTCAATATGGACCCCAACAGGTCAAGTACATAACTTTCCTAAGTGACTCTTCAGACTGCTTTGCTTTACTGTTTGAAGAAACCATAGAAGAAGATTGATAAGAGATTTTTTTGGCCTGTGAAAATGACTTTATATTGTTCTTTGCATGCTGATTTATTGTTATGATGGTGGAATTACACCTACTCACTCCTTGTTCTTTCAATGCCTCAACCCATGCCTTGCTTGTTGAACTCATTTTTCTAAATTTAATTTTTTTGAAAATCTTTGCTAATTGGATATTGGTGTTGGTTGTTGGGATTTGATGCTTCCCAATATATATAGGTAAGTGTGGCGGCTCAATAAAACTAGTGGCTTTTAGCTCTCAATTCTAACAGCCTTAAACATGGTTTTCTAGAATTTCAGTTACAGTTATATTCGTGGCTAAGAATGTACTTTTTTGCCCTTAGTGCATAATTTTTCATTATTCTGGTGGCTTTGGAGCATGGTTTTCTATAATTCAGTTAGGATTGTGGCTGCGGAATATCTACATTTCTGCCATTCCTTGTGGCTTTGGAGCATGTTTTTTCTAAAATTTCAAATTACACTCATGGTTTTGGATGTAGTGATAGAGTCACGTATACTTGAGGGGTGTTGATGGATATCCTTGGTCAGAAAATTATATTCACAAACACCTTTTAACTTTTATGTAATTTTATTTTTTTATA